TAAAACTCCATTTTCAAATGCTAGAACTCCATTTTCAAATGCTAAAACTCCATTTTCAAATGCCAGAACTCAGTTTTCAAATGCCAAAACTCAGTTTTCAATGCCAGAACTCCGTTTTCAAATGCCAGAACTCCGTTTTGAGAAGGAGAACTCCGTTTTCGGCTTGATATATGAAAATTTTCGACTAATTGTATAATATTATTTGCTTTTGTTCAGGTACCAAAAATAATTCGCAACCAGCCCTGCCGAGCAGCCAGAACAGGTTTGGACCCACGTAGCTTCCAAATTGCAATGGGGGGGGGGGGGAATTCTTTGAGCAACTTGGCCTGAGAAAGTCAATTTTGGCAAACATAACTCAGAGCTGATGGCTTGAGATTTGATAACAGAACAGGAAAATAGTCAAACCATACAAAGTTTGAAAATAGAATGTTATAGAAAAGAGAATGTTTATATAGAAAAGAGACACCTATTAAATGTGGTTGGTAAAATTGCAAAAAGACACTCTGGGAAAAATTGAAATTTTCTACTATACTAGCATGCACAAGAACGTCTGACCCAGGTTTACAGTTAGCTTCAGTCACTTACCTCAGACCCAACAATGTCTGACACACATGTTACATGCCATTTGTTTTTCATACTTTATACAAAATAATATTGGATGAGGTTTAATGCACCATAGTTATATTACTTGGCTTAAAAGGTAGGGAATATACTTGTGTAACCATTCAGTGAAACCATTTTTCAGAAGAAGGCCTATATAGGGGGCCAATCAATTTACGAAGTGACTATATGACCGGCAGCCGGTCACGCTTTATCAAATACTAAATGGCCGGCAGTCTAGTGACTATAGTTGAATATAAAAACTTTTGTTTGCGTTAACTTTTACCGAGCTTGCCGTTAGCTCATACGGCAAGGGCGCTGCGTGCGGAAAGTTAAGCGCGGTCGGGGTCGCGATGTGTTTTTGTCTGACTTAGCATTGTTTTTTCTTAAAATTTTTTAAACTTTTTTTCCCGACTTTTCTAACTCTCAAAAGGTTAGGGTTAGGGGTTAGGGTTAGAAAAGGGTTTGGGGTTGGGGATAGGTTTATCTTATAAAAATTAAACTTTAACAATAGTCACTAGACTGCCGGCCATTTAGTATTTTATAAACCGTGACCGGCTGCCGGTCATATAGTCACTTCGATCAATTTACACTACAGTACTACACGTACAGCTTTTGCCTATTAAAACTGTCGCATGCAACCTGCTTACAACTTGAGTTGTACTGTATAAATCAAGCACACAACTCACCTACGACAACGTAAATAATGAAATATACAACAAAACAACAAAAATAAGAAATACCATTACCAGTAATCCGATGGTAAACACACCTTGTCCATTTTCAAAACATATGTCACATGTTTTTACGACTGTCACATAAACACCGTTCAAATAGTGCGATTTTCGTAAAAATACGTACCTCACTCATCCTGAACTGTATCTTTCAACTACACTCAATATTATTTAGATATGATATAAATCCTCCCTTTTCCAGCGAACAGAAATAGTGCAATTTCCATCAAAAAACTTCAAAAAAGTTCGACATATTGTTTGTGAGCCTTGGGTGGCTTCCTGCAGCGGTTACCACACAAAATTACAAATTCAGCATAAATTTCTGCATAAATTTTGATAGAATTTAAAGCTGTTTCGCTATTTGGCTTGTTTTTTCAAGCAAAATTACTCAGAATGCATCTGTGAAAGGTCTTTTATCAACTGTATCCATAAATGTGGTTAATTTCACGAAAAGAAGCGAAAAAAGTTCTGAAATTTATATATAGGAACTTGTATACCGCTCCAGGATATATAGAGCTCAACACTGCAAATTCAAAACAAAAACTCTTAAACTTCATCCGCCAGTTTCCGCCAAAATGATTTTGAAACTCACTATTCAGTAATTTTACCCAAATAATAAATATGGTATAAAAAACAAGACAAATTCTAGGTTAAAATGGACAACAATCTTTAGCCAAAAGATATATGCACATATTATGGTTTTGTACATAATTGAAAAAAAAAAAGTACATTGCAATTTTTTTTTGTTATAAACACATGTTTAAAAATTCACATGTTTTATATCTGCATAAAAATCATTAGCAGCTTTTATCAAACCCAAAACCTTTTCCAACAAATTAAAAATGACAAAACTCAAATAATCTCATAACCTCAAAACAAAATACCCGGCTTTTTACATGTAAAATCTCTTTTTTCTGAACAGAACTCCCACGAGATGCCATTGTTGACATTTTTGAGGGATGTGAAATTATACGAGTAAAATGGCCAGTGCTTTTCATAATGAAATTGCATTTATGAAGCTTTTTCACGTTGTTTTACAGTAATCATTTAATTCTCCGGCCATAAAACATTAATGAAGGAAAAGCAAGCATCTGCAAAGTTAAAAAAAATGGCTGAGGTTGCTTTAAAATCGATAAAATGTGCGAAGGTCGGGAAGAAACAATCGACTTGCTGCTATCTTGTTTTATCCGAAACGGGTTTGCCGCGGTTGGACTTTACATACAGAGACGGGAATGGCGATCAATTAACACTACAATGCGAGAATATTACTGCAATTGATTTGCGGGTTGAGGCAAAATTTGGATCGATTGAAGCGATGAAAGGGACCCTTTTAGTCGAGTGTTCAGTACTTCAAACAAGGAGCCCAACCATTGAAACGACTTCTAATAACAATTCAGCTCGACCATCCTCAGAAAAATCGTCCAAAAGTTGCCTTGTTCAAGGCACCTTTCACGTCAACGAAACCGGAGCTGTACGAGACCTTTTGAGAAAGCTACGAAGCAATCACTTGAGCTCAAAATTGGACAAAACTGTCAGCCAACCGAACAACCCCCAAATTAGCCCAAAGCATTACAAAGAGGGCCTGCCCAGTTGGGTACAGTTTATACCACATTATATATACTCGAAACGTACACGACAATGCATCCAACTTGCTATATACATTTACCTGGTATTTTCTATCATGTGGGCTCTATGGCAGCTGTACCGATACGTCGATGTTATCCGAGAATTCGTACGACCCCTGATAGACTTGTTTCAGTACCAATACCAACTCCTGGATTATGTAATACAGTTCCTCAACACTCTATTCGAGGAATATACAATCCAGTGGCTTTGTTTTATTAAACCACTTTGTACGGTAACAGCGGTAATGTCCGCTCCATTGTTGCAAATACTTGGACAACTGGGTCTTGTGTTACGCATGGTTATCCAAATTGTTACCAGCAGTTGCGCTTTGTTGTGGCCCCTTGTGAGACCAGTTTTAAACGTGGGCTACCAGTTGGCATATTTTTTATTTACCGTTATCCGAGCACTCAAGAATACCCTGGTACAACTGTGGTTGCCTTTTTCGGATATTTCGGTACCGACGATAATCGGCACATATTTTAAAGCGGGCAAAAATATGCTATGGGCGTTGTGGCATGGCTTAGGTCAGGCACAGCTCGATCCAATAAAGGCACAGCTGGTGATTGTTAGGACTACAGTCATTCACAGTGGCAAGGCAGTGGGTTTGGGCATGATGCGTTTGGGGAGAAAGATATACAAGTTTGTATGGTTGCGACGGTCAGCACAAGCCGAAAAAGAAGAGTAAAATAATCCATCAATTGTTAAACCACATAATATTTGAAAACAAATAATTTGGTCAAATGCAATCAATATGAGCTGATATTTCATATTTAAAACAACATATCTGATATGACCAAACCATAAGACTTTTTTGTATTGTAAACTAGTATCTAGTGAGGGTTAGGTTATGCTAAATATATAAGGTTCTTGATCAGGGACGCCGGAAAGTCGATAATTGGGGGGCAGATATTCATATATTCATGTTCTGCATCATTTATTTCCTTTGAAAGCGATTGTTTTAATTTACAGTCTGTGAACACAAATATATGAATATCTGCCCCCCCCCCCGACTTTTCGGCATCCCTGTACTTGACATTTATGATTGTATAAAAAATACTTTAACCATAGCTATTTGTGATACAAATGTATATGACTTTTTTAAACTAGTATCTAGTGAGGGTTAGGTTGTATTTATATGGTACTTGATATTTATGATTGTATAAAAATACTTTATTATCCATAACTATATGTGTTTTAAATATAATTTATAACTGTACTATTGGGAGGGCATCTTTTCGCAACTACAAGCACACCTATTTGATATGCGCCCTTCAATCACGATGTTTTTGTAACAGGGAGTGGTGTTCCTAAAATCCTCAGGGCCTTACCACTGGTGTCATAATTTACCATTATGATTAGTTCTCGTTAGTTCCAGATATTCACTGAGTTCTTGCCCCTCTAAGAGATAACCGTTCACTTTTCCTTCTTGTCCTGGCCGGCTTGACACTTTAGCTTTCAAAATGAAACATTAGGAAAACTTGAGAGAATATCTAAACTGCTAAAACCTATTAATAAGTAGTATCTGACACGTTTCACTTCATGAGAAAAACTATCTCTGGCATTTACTTTGACAGAGTGAAATTGCCTAGCTTTAAACAGTTTAATAAAAAGTATTATTGTACATTGTAATATCCCAAACTAAACAGTCCAAAGATTGGCATGCATGTATGACAGAAACAAATTTCATTCCTTACCTAGTACTTTCCCACCCTGCAATTGTTGCAAGATCCTGTTGTCAACAGATGGCTCCTTTTCACCCTAGAAAACGTTTAATACAGTTGAATCCATTGTAAATCATTTAGCAACCATTGAGCATCAGCACTCTCCTCTTGACAAGTAAAATCGTCTGCCATTAGACAGAGTAAAATAATAAAGTATTAAGCATTGGGACACAAGTAAAATGATAAATAAAATCATCAGCTCTAGAATACATTTGGGGGCATTCCAACTTAATGGTTTAATTAGCAATTGTACTACAATACCTCTTTTATATCATTAGATTCATGATGTACATCTTGCTTCTCATACCTGTAAGAAATATACTAGAAATAGTTTACACTAAAACTGCCCCCGGCTGATCATGGTGTACTAAATTAATCAACATCAAACCATACGAGCTAAACTCAAATTCTGTTAACCTGTGGGCATTAATACCCAACATTTCACCTGGACAAGTAAAATCCTCCAGCAATAATGAAGTAGGATGCAATCATTGCATTACTAATATTATTGCATTACCAAGTTTTAAATGGCTCTCCATCAACTTCAACGACAGTTCCTCGTACCATGATTTTCCTGCTTGTAAAATCTTTATGTGCCATGTTGTAAAGAACGTCCAATATCGGTGTTTGGAATTCAATTTCTACAGAATGTCAAGATGAAAATCAGCACAAAAATGGCATATCTTAAAAATAAAATTAAATGCAGAAAGACCTTGGGATTTCCAAATGTATGATCCTTCCTTGGCTCTGGTAACTTTTGTCTTTTCACCTCCGCCAAAAGCTTTGCGAGTTTTATATTTTTCTGGTTTATCCAGACATAACTAATGAAGATATATAATTATAGTAACATATAATTCTCTAGTCAATAATGTTCCAATTGATTGTATAATCAATAATCAAACCTACTCTAGTTAACGCCGGGGCTCTTTTTCTTCGCCATTCACTTTTAAGTTTCCCTCCACACATCATCTCTATAAATAATTTAAATATGAATATGGTGGAGCAGTTATAGAATTCTCTGATCCAAGTTGATGTGAAAGATACCGTTTGTCAGATATTTTCACAGAATATTTTGTATTTGTCAAATAAGAAAATCAGAAATCTGCTTGGTTTTTGGTTTACAAAGGCATATTGTGCAGATTCTTGGTAAATTATTTGCAGTTTTCTACAACTTGAAAAATTTTACGCAGATTTCCAATTTTCCATAATAATTGCATGAATTTTTGCGCAGCAAATTAAAAAGCCAAAACTTTACAGTCTATCCTGTTCTGATATACAAACCTGAACTATGTAAATTTCTGCATTGGATTGGATACCTTTGCCTCAAGGACACACAGTTGAATGCTACAAACAAGACAATATAAATCAAGTTTCTAAAAATAATACTACCAAAATCATTGGCAAAATGTACACTCAAATTGATTCATCTCATAGAGTTATATTTGATGACTATTTTACAAATTTATCTACAACTATAAATGTGCAATATCTGAAGTGCATCTACACGACAAACCTGGTTGTATTTCACACAACAAACGGCCAAAAATCGACGAGAAAACACAACTCTTTCGACTCACGTTGGCCGCCATATTGGAAATACACTGGCCGAACGGCTTGAAGGCTCGCATGGACCAAACCATTTGTTGCGGAATATGCAAATAAGGCAGAAATGGGCTCCAGTGTCCCAAAAAAGTTCCTCTTTAGAAATCACTCTTGTGCGTTATTATACCTTTGGGAATTTCATTTAATTGTACATGTACGGAGAAAGTATTTGCAACTTCCCTTCGTCCAAATAAATTGGTAAATCGGTTACACTTTGCGTTAAAGTATAAGTCGTTACGACAAATATTAGTTGCTCTGTAGCAATCTCGTACCCAGGGCATTTTGCTTCAAAATGAGTGATATATATATAGGCACTTTTTTGCGACATGTACACCCTGTACAGATGAGACAGCTAATTGGAATTTGTCGTGAAATTTTGGTGACATATTAGGCATTTTATACGTCATTTTTGGCCGCGTAAATTTTGGCCGCGTTGAATGAGATAAATTTTATTAAGCTTCATTATCTATTGTTTGAATTGCATTCGACGCGACCGAAATTCGACGTATAAAACAGGCCTTTTTAATATAAAGAGTACAATAAAATAATATATTAATTTTGCTGGAATAACAAATTCATAAGCTGAGCACAAAAAAAATTGAAATGTATGCACAGAATTGTCAATATAAAAATACTTTTTAATATTCAACAAATGCAGGTACAAGGTATATCGCGATTTTCATTCGAGTTTACGGTCTAAATTGCATGTTGGACTTTGGTGATTGAGACCCGTTTTATACGTCGAATTTCGGTCGCGTCTAAGGCAATTCAAACAATAGATAATGAAGCTTAATGAGGTATATCATCTCATTATCTATTGTCTTAATTGCATTCGACGCGACCAAAATTCGACGTATAAAACACACAGATATCTTATCTATGATAATACAAGCTTGAGTTTTGAACCCTCTCACGCTCATTCACCGTGGAACTAGTTAAAACGAGATTGCCGAGATGAATCATGTCACGTTTTTTTCCCTTTCTTGATCATAACTAAGAACGTTTGAATGAATTTTATACTGTTTCTGCAAATCAAACCAAGCTAATAGACAACTTGCATGTTAGAATAATTTTCGATCTATAGGCAAAAAAGTACATTCCCGTAAAGAACTTATTAAAATTAGTAAATTTGCAAAATTTGGTTACGAAATGTTTGTAAAATACGGAAAGTATAGCCTTGCGAAGTTTGCATATTTTGTATATGTTTGTATTACGTGCGGAAATTGTTACCATTTTTGAGCCTAAAATGGTAACAATTTCCGCACGTAATACAAACATATACAAAATTTGCGAACTTCGCAAGGCTATATTTTCCAAGCTTTACAATATTTCGCAACCAAATTTTGCAATTTTACTAATTTCATTATGTTTTTTTAGCTGTGGTGTTTGATTCCCTTCTCTTTACTTAGATTAAAATTTAGTCTAACATGCAAGTTGTCCAATACCCAAGCGAGCCAGGCTCCATACGAACAGCCCCATAGGCTAAAACATGTATTTTTGACCGTTTGAACAAAACATTTTGAAAGATGTGGCAACGTAAGTGTGTCCGAACATTTAAAGCATGTTCTGAGTACTGTGTGATATGGCTTTCTGTGTACCGATGAGTGCATGAGCGTGGCAATGTGATCAATGTGATAAAT